TACATATGTATGTATATGTGTGTATATAGGCACATATATTTTAAATGCCACTCTTTACCTTTGTTACATCCAATTTACAATTTTTTATTACTTCTGTTACATGCTTACCCGAGAGTATCGTTTTACTTAAGACTTGACATCCTTATCCTGCTGCAGTGACAGAAAGGTGTCTCTCTTGTAGAGAGCTTAGCAGTTTGCCAATTTTAGTAAGCATATTACAAAATATTTTGATCAGAAATTAATTTTTATCTTGTAACTTTTTCTGGTTGTCATGGGGTTGTTCTATATTCTTTTTGAGCATGCTGCAAACAAATCGCTGACAGAATCACACAGAATCACTGAGTGGCTGAGACTGACAGACACCTCTGGAGACTGTGTAGTCCTGCTGCTCCATCATGTCCAGCCCTGCGCTTGAGAACTATCAGCTACAGCAGGCTACCTGGGATGGTGTCTAATGGAGTTTGAGTATGTCCAAGAATGGAGACTCTGCCACATCTCTGGGTAGCCTGTTGTGGTGTTTGACCACTCGTAGAGGATAAAAACATTTTTCCTGTGTATAACTGAATTTCATATGGAGTTTTTTGTGCCTATTGCCTTTTTCCTGTGGCTGGGCACCACTGAGAAGAGTCTGTCTGCATCTTCTTTATAGGCTCCCATTAGGTATTTATATATATTGATAATATCCCCCTGAGCTTTCCCTTCTTAAGTCTGAACAGTCCTAGCTTTCCCAGCCTCTCTATGTATAGCAGATATTCCAATCCTTTCATCATCTTTGCAGTCTTTCACTGGATTTTCTCCAGTATATCCGTGTCTGTCTTGAACTGGGGAGCCCAGAACTAGACACAGCACTGAGATGTGTCTTACCATTTCTGAATAGAGGGGAAGGATCACCTCCTTTCCCAGGCTGGCAGCACTTTTGTCAGTGGACCTCAGGATGTCATTGGCTTTTGCCACAAGGGCACATTACTTGCTCATGGTCAACGTGGTGTCCCCCATGATCCCCAGGATATTTTCTGACAGGCTGCTTTCCAGCTGATCAGCCCTCAGCCTTTGCTAGTACATGGGTTTATTACTCCCCAGGGGAAGTAATTTGCTCTTCCCATTGTTGAACTTCACGAGGTTCCTGTCAGCCCATTCGTCCAGTCTGTTGGGGTCCCTCTGAATGGCAGCACAAACAGCTGGTGAAATAACCACTGCCCCCAGTTTTGTGTCATTGGCAAACTTCCTATGGTGCACTATGTCCCATTGTCCAGGACATTCATGAAGATTTTGTATTGGCCCCAGTTTTAGCCCCTAGGATATTCTACTGGTACCTGGCCTCCAGCTGGACTTTGGGCTGCTGATCACAAGTCTCTTAGCCCAGTAGTTCATCCAGGTTCAAGTCCACCTTACTCTCTACTTACCTAGCCTACACCTCATCAGTCCAACTATGAGCATTTTATGGGAGACAGTGTCAAAAGCCTTACTACAGTCAAGATAGACAGCACCCACTGCTCTCCTCTCATCTTTTGAACTACTCATTTTATCAGAGATTGCTGTCAGGTCAATTAGGCACCGTTTTCCCTTTATAAATTCATGATGACTGCTCCTAATGATATTTTCCTTTATATGGTCCACTGCCTTCTCAGGGATTGAGGTGGAGCTGACTGCTCTAGTTTCCCAGATCCTTCCTGAAAATAGGAGTGCCATGATTTCTTCCCGTCCTTTGGAACCTCCCCTCTCTTAGCACTCATAGGTGCATCATGTCAAGTCCCATGGACATATGTATGTCCAGTTTGTTTAAATGTTCCCTGATCTGATCCTTCTCCACTGAGACTGAGTCACAGGGACTTGAGGTTGCTGGAGGCAAGTGTTACCTTTAAAGAGAGAGCTGAGGAAGGCATTGAGTGCTTTGGTGGTCTTTATGTTCTTTGCTACCACAGCCTCTGCTGTGCTTAGCAGTGAGCCCTGAGCCCACTTTAACCCTTGTCTTCATTTTGCTGCCAATGTACTTACAGAAGCCTCTTGTTGCCCTTCATGCTCCTCCCCATATTCAACTCCCCACAGATTTTGGCTTTCCTAACCCTATCACTGTATGCTTAAACAATGTCTTCAGATTCCTTCTGGTCTCCTGTCCCTGCTTGTACATCTTGTATCCTTCCTTTTACATGTGAGTTTAGTCAGAGGAGAGCTGTGTTCATCCATGCAAGCCTCCTGCTACCTTTTCTTGAGTTCTTGCTCACTGGATCGGACCACTGTTGATCTTGGAGGAGGTGATCCTTAATAATCAACCATCTGTCATGGTTCCTTCTTCTCTCCAGGCCAGTATTCTGCTGGATTATTCTGAATATGTCCCTGAAAATGCCTAAGTCTGTGCTCCTGAAATCCAGGATTGTGATCCTGCTTTTTGCCTTTCTCCCTCCTCTCAGAATCCTGAACTCCCATCATATCAAGGTTGCTGCAGACAAGGCTGCCTCTGACCTTTACATTCCTGACCAGTTCTTCCTTGTTTGTAGTTATGAGGTCCAGCACTGTGTCTCCCCTTATCAGCCTGCTGATTGCTTGTGGCAAGAAGTTATCATCAGGGCATTCCAGAAACCTCCCATATTGCTTGTGCATTGCTGTGTTGTTCTGCCAACATATACCGGAGTGATTCAAGTCTCCCATGAAGACAAGGGCCTGCAAACATGAGTCTTCTTCCAGTTTTCTGAAGAGGACTTCATTGTTCTTCCTGATCAGAAAGGATCAACAGAAAGCCACCATGTCATCTGCATTGGTCTGCCTGCACCTGACCCACACACGCTCAGCTGGCTCATTGCCCATCTTAAGGCAGAGCGTTCTCCATTTACACTACTCTTTCACATAAAGGGCAGCTTTTTGCCATCCCAGCTGGTCATTCTTAAAGAGCCTCTATACATGCAGGGCAGCACTACAGTCATATGAGTTATCTCACCTTGTCTCCATGATCCCAGTGAGCCCTGCAACTGCAGGCAGATTTCTGATTCATTCTGTCATCCTCCATGGGGCTGTGCTATGTGCAATTAAACAGCAACTTCAGATGGGCACCTAGTTGTGTTTATTTTCCATGAAAACTTGAGAGCCTCCCCCATACTGCGGTCCTGTCAGAACTCCCTTATTTATGTGCATATGCTTGAGATGTTCCTCCATGAGCCTTGTATTGTTCATCGCAAGGTCTTTCCTGTCCACACCAACCTGTGCCCTTCGCTTGCTCGCCCAGACCACAGCTCTCACATGTTACATGGTCAAGATATCTCCCTTACCATTTCTAGTTTAAAGCTCCCCTCAACAAATTGGCCCGTGTTATCAAATGTGCTTCATTCTGTGTGTTTATTTGTATTGCACCATTGGTGCTGAATAATTCCTGGTAAGATTGAGCATAATTTCCTCTTTCCTGTGTAAAATCTGCTATGTAAAAATAGTGCATCATTCACTAAAGAGGATAAAACCAGCTGTAATGTACAACTGCAAGTTAAATACAGTGTTTGTGTGTTGCTCTGTTGCAGAAATTTTTCAGATTGCAACTATTTTGGTTCATATAACTTCTTACGCAAAAAAAAAAAAAGAAAAAAAAAATCAAGTTATCATATGTGTATGAAGAAATAAAGTTTGATTTTAAAAATGTGATGTAACGGAACTGTGACTGAGTTTCCTTGTATTTAAAAATCCTTGAGTTTAACATGAGCAAACATGTTAAATGTCTTTAAGCTTTCTCCAGTATTCACCTGTTAACAGGCTTTTTTAAACAGTGCTTTTTAAACAACATTAAATTATCTGAATGTGCTATTGTGGTACATATAATTTCACTTTTTATATAATTATTTAGATGTTGTAGCTTTAGTGAATAATCAACATATTAAATAGCGACACAGATCTTAAGAAATGTTTTTTGGAAAGTTCCCTTAAAATGGTTTCTTTATCATTCTACAGTTTCTCAGGAAAACACAACAAATTTGGTATTACTGCTTACCTTTTGTACTCTAACCTTTACCTGGGCATCTCCAGCTGTATTATAAAAATGTATTGATAACTCTTGTTGTTAGTGATAATTCTAGGCACTGAAAAGCGATATGTGTGTTGGAGGTCACTGAGAAAATTCTTTGAGGAAGTAAAGAAAAAAATTAGTTGTAGTGGTAAACTTATATTTCAGTATCTGTATGTAATAGTAGTGTGGATTGTGTTTGTGAACTAAACGAGAAATTAAGTAGAAAGCATATAAAAAGGGATTAATGGAGTCACTTAAATGTTTAACGTGTTACTGAAAATATTCCAAGTTTTTAAGCATTGCTGGTAATAAATTAGTTACTGATATTAATTTCTGCCCTGATTTGTAAGATCTATCAGTACAGTAAAATTCTGAAGTACACTGATTATACTAGATATACCTATGGTTGCAGTACAACACAATTCCTATTATTGTGTTTATAGAGATTTTATTCTTATGTTATGTAATACACACCAAAGTTTACTTACTTTGCTTATGGTTGTTGCTGTATGCTGTACCTGCAGACAAAAAGTAATTTATCAGCAGGCACCCTTTGTGTGTCTAGGGAGTAGGTGCATTTCAGAAAGGAGACTTGTTTTACACATACTCTGCAAGTTAAGAAAAACTTTTATCTTTTTTAATAGCTCTAGTTAAAAAAAAACCCAAAACCTTATTTTTACAATGCATGTGTTCTAAATATTTTACATTTTGACACTTACTGCTAAAGAGTTAACTGAATATTGATTAGAAAGTGATGCAGTAGTGAAAATCCATATATTTTAGAGCATTAGAGAGAAATTGAAAGGCATTCCGTTTTGAAAATTAACTGTTTTGTAGATATTTCACAAAAGTATGTGATAAATATTTTATATGTAACTTCTAGTGTTTATAAGACAATTGACAGAAAAATAACTGAAAATATGAAGCTCATTATCTACAATAAAATTATTTGAACACGATTGCTTAATGGAGGTCATTGTTGTTCTTTTTCTTAATTTCTCTTGGTTGTTTTGCACAGGAAGGAGTTACAGGAGCTGCAGAATCTTTACAGACAGAATGCTGAACATACAGCACAGCAGGCTGAGCTGATAAAGCAGCTTCAGGCTCTCAATACTGATACACAAAAAGTACTGAAAGACCAAGAAGATGCTCACACAACTGAAACAACATCATATCAAAAAGTATGTAATTTTGCTTTATGATCACAGGTTTCATTTTAATATCTATCTATACAATGTCAATGGACAGAGTACTCAAAGCGCTGTGTAATGTTGCATCCCTTAGATTTCTGGATCTTTGTCATTACCAAAATACGGTTGACAGTGCAGTTTATTGGCCTAATTACATCCCAGCATATAAGGGCCCTTGCTTTTGTAGAATTGGTGAGCCTTAGAAAATAAGAGTTAGTTGCATCTGAAGAAATATAAGAGTGAATTGCCAAGCATATAGATTTCTTTAGGTGATTTTGTTGTCTATGTTTTTCTTCTTCTTCCTCTCCTAGAGCTTTCAATTACTGAATTTTCAAGGTTTTGATAATTTAGAAGAAATTGCTTTCACTTGTAATATATTTGTATGAATGTCAAACAATTTTACTGGTTTAAGATGCAAAAACCTGCTCTATCAAAATTAGCTGGAAAAATTGTTGCCATAATAGCTTTTTAAATGGGTGACTAATTCAAAAACCTTTAACTATATTTATATTTACAGAATATGTTTGTATTTTTGATGAATGCTAGGAAAAATGCTAACTGTAAAGAGATGTCACATGTGCACCGCTCAGAACTTCGAGTGTAACAAATTTTATGGCTGTCTGTAAGAAATACAGGAAATATGTTTTCTTCCTTTCTAGAAACACTGAGAAGGAAGAAAACAAGGAAGAAGTTATATATACAACTTTCGCATACCTTCTACCAATTTTGGAACTGTTTTCTCAAATTGTGTGCTGTCAGTGCTTTTTCAAAAAAAACAGCGTTTCCCTTTATCATCTTACTTAGAGTATGTAGTTTGTGGTAGAGTTGTGAAGCTAGACCTAAGTCAGAATCAGTACAGGATTCTGAAGATGTGTTTGGTTAACATTTCATAGCACAGAGTGCCCAGCACATGTTTGTGTACTTAGCTCTGCACAAGTTTATCATTGACTGCAGTGACAATAGACATTAAGTCTTTTATTCACTATAATACTAGCCCAGCCAAGCTGCAGGTAGACTTCTGTCACTGTTGTTAAGAACATGTACAAGGCACGGGGAGTTCTGCCTATCTGGGACAAGACAAATTACATTACAGATTTTTTTTTTTTTTTAATACAAAATGTAAGTATCAGGAGTTGCTATTTCTTTAATTTTTCATTCTCCGTAATGCCCCAAAAAATGGCACAAGTTGAAGATAATATGAACTCTCTTCATTGGTGTTTTTAGGGCATATTCTTCCAGACTAGCTCTACAACAGATGAAAGAAAATAAAACTGGATTTTCATGAGATTGTTTTAAAGCTTGACAAAACCTTTTATAAAGGTCACTTTGCCTTGCATAACAGAAATTTTGCCAGTATTACTTCAATTTGGGAAAGAGTTTAATCTGTCATATGAAAAATAGTTTTGGTATTATAAGTTACTTATGTATTATGCAAAATTGATGGGTATACTTATATAGATATAGGGGCAAGACAATTCTAAACAGGGCTTGGCTCAAAATTCAGGATTGCTTCAGAAAGCTGGTTCACAGTTCTTGATCTGTCTTAGCAGGACTTAAGACTTCTGCTTAGCTGATCGTACAACAGGAACAAGAATAGTGTGGTTTGGAAGGTGAGCCCTTCTTTTTGATAGCTGCCAAATACTTCTAACTCTGATGACCCTAAAATTTGCTGGTCTTGACGTGCTGAATTCAGTATTTTTCCATCATGGAGGAATAAGTTTTGCCTCTTAAACCAGCAAAAGCAACTCAAATATTCTAACGTCACTATTGTAGAACTGATAAACTGTCTTTTTGTAAAATACCAAAATATCTAATGCACCTGGAAAAAAATCTGTTCATTTTGTTTTTTGTAAAAAAAAGGTTAAAAAAAAAGTATGAAAAAAGAAGTTATGTTCCCTAAGTCAGAGTGGAATAGATCTAATATACATCTGTCAAATTGCGTTGAGAGAACTTTGGAGAGGAAATGGAGTTCCTTTTATCATGACAATCCTGTTCTATACTTTAGATCAGAAGAAATTTATAAAATCCCCAAGTCTAATTGCTTTAAAGTAACATGCATTTTCCAAATCACAGGATACACAGTCCTACTGAAGTTACAGAAGGCCTTTGGAATACTCAGCATCTATAGAAATAATACAAATGCCTATTTTTCCCTTGAATGAGAAGGGCAAACTATTGCAGACAAATGTGTTTTCTGTTTGTCTTCCACGCATTAATAATATGCAGGCTGCGACAGCTAGATAAGGATGTGTCAGCTATTCCATAAACATATTAACGAAGGAATGTTTTCCTACTGCTCCAGATGGCGTTGAGCCTATCAGTGTGTGCATCCTATGATATATTTTCCCTTATAGCAAGATCAATGACCTTTCTGGTAGTGGTCAGATAGGCAGTATATGCTATAGCTCAGGCAGTGTGGTTGACTCACATATTCTAAGTTCATCTTAACAGTCTACCATTTAGGAAGAATCATTCTTTGTGCTGATGTTAATGTAGTACGAAACAGTAGATGGAATAAAAGAAAAAACATTTCTGGTAAACCAGATCAAGGGCATGAACTTGCACTGGGTTATAGGTAAATCCATTGAGGGCCACAAATTCTCTTTCAAGTCTAGCTGTAGTGGGTACCATACACATGTGAAGATCTGTTTTATCAAGTTGCGTTGACTTGAGGTGCTACTACCTTTTTTTTCTTTAAGTACAAGTTTTAAGGGTACTGTGTTCTACAATAACTCCTTTATGTTAGAGCATTTATGGAAACAAATTGATATCTATTTCATATTGCGGCTGTAGTTCTCATTCTCAAGGATAGGGAATATTTTTCTAAAATGTATAGCAGCTGTTTTAGTGGTCCTAAATGTTCCAGGGACTTAATTCCTGTGCTGGATTTAATGAGACTCAATAGATTTGACCTCACCAACAATTTCAAGGTGGAGAGACTTCAATCAATACTAGGGATAATAAGACAAGAAGAGATTCTGAACTCCTTAGCCAGCCTATCACAGTTTCCTGAAATTTACAATTTAGGGCCTTTGTTTTTATAAGGCAGTGCTTTCCCTTGATCAGATGTGGCCTTTAGGTTCTTTGTTAATCATACTGATTAAAAATCTCTTAGTGGAAGGCCCTTTTAGTGAAGTAGAAATACTGTTGCCCTCAAATAGGAAATCATAATTCCTGTTCTGGGACTCTGCTCTCAAATACAGCATACTGTTCGTAGTGGTACAATACATGTCTGTGATGAAAAAAAGCATTGCTCAATAGTTAGATTTTTGACATAATTAGAAAACACAGTAACAGTTTTCAATTACGAGGCATTGCAGAATTCTGCATTAAGTGCACCAGAAAATAGATAAAAATAGGATAGTGTCTGATAAGTTTTTGGTTGTTGTGGTTAATTTTGTGCTTGCAGTTGCCTTTTTTAGTCCTTCTCATGGTGTCAGTGTTTGGAGATAGTTTGCTTTCCTTCAAGCAACTATTTCACTCTGCATTTTTTTTCTAGTTGCACTATGATTCTGGCAAACATACAAAACAATAAATAGCATGGGTTAATTATTTAGTTTTACTACGTGTTGTTGGAATTCATCAGCTTTCCTTGGTCAGACCTAACTTAATTTTGTCATTACACATATTTACTGTATGTCAGTACTTTATCTCATCCCACCATTATCAGACTGTTAAATATTTTGTGTCACATGTGAGCACATTTTTTGGTTCTCCTGGAAGTTCTAGATTTGGTCTGTCATTTTTTAGATTACTTGATAACATTAAGCTAACCTGTTGTTCTAATGAAGTTTTCTGTTTTAACTCTTGAAAGATCTAGCAAAAATTGTTTGCTGGTAAAATCAGTTAAATCATTATAAGAAATTGTTAGGGTAGCTGAGAAATATGGGATACTTTATTTTTTGTAATTCAGCTAAGTTACTCTTCCTTCCTGACTGATAAATAATGCTCTTCTGTTATGTAGACTAAATTTATTACAATGTACTGATTTCAGATCATTTAAATAACATTTTATTTGGTTTTAAGTATCTTCACCTGTAACAGTCTGTGTTTCCAGTCAGAGAGAGTTCTAAGGCATTAGAAATAAATTCTCAAAATACAGTCAGTGCAACAGTATTTGCAGAGCACAGTCTTGTGTCTCTGGCTATTGCCTTATTTTTTCCAAGTACCAAATTTCATTAAATGTATAAAGAATTATTCTAAATATTTTCCTTTTTCTTTCTATCTTTTAAACATTTTTTTTTAATATATCTCTTCTTGGAGATTAAATAATTTCCTGGGTAAATCTGATGTCTTTTTGACATTCATGTAGGGTATAATCACTCACTGATGTCCTCTTTTTTTTGTGAAGCTTGCTAGTTCTCAGATAAATAATCTACAATATTTTTGTCTTTCTTTTGGATTTTCTATGCAATGTTCCATCTCTAGTCTTCTCATCTTTGTGTTATGTCTTGTCTCTACACCTGACTTTCTGTATCGTTATTAATGGTGTATCTGTTTCACTGTGTTGTGCAATTCTGTATGTTCTGGAATGTGCTTACTGTAATGTGTTTCAATGTGGCGCCTCTTTTAAAACAGGGTCAGAAGTGAGCAGGAAACCCCAAAGTAATGTAATGTAAACATTAAGCATATATTTAATCCACAAAATTGGTGGATGTGCATGGCCATAAAAGAAAAGATAAGGAGCCAAGTGCAAGGTTGAAAGCTGTTCTAGTTATCTGTGGACAATAGATAAAACCATTTCTTTTCAGACAGCTAATTGTCATTTTGAAATTTCATGATCTTAAATACCTTAGAAAAAAACAAACAAACAAACAAACCTGAGTCCTATAAACTAGTACATTGGTGTTGTTTAAAAAAACCCATAAACCTCAGTGTAAAAAAATGAATGGTGCGAATGTGGTTTTTTGCACATAGCATTTAGCTAGTTTTATACTTGAAATATATGTTTTGTTATTGCTGCTCTCAAAGCAGGAAGGGTTGGAAAAGTT